TCTTCTTTTAAAATGTAAAACCTATCATGTAACCTCGCTTGGAAAAATAGTATAAAAGTTGCGTTCGAAATGTGGGTCTTCGGGTACTTGTCTTTGGACATGAGTCCACGAGAACCCCGGGCCCTGAATTAAAGCACCGCATAAACTGGCACTTTGTTGGTTTGTGTTCTCTTTATCGGGCAGCAGTTTCACAGGGAACACACTGAGGAGAAACCCAAAGGAATCATTTTGGATTCAGGGAGTCCTGGAGATGAAAACAGTTGGTGGCTCAGAGAGTATTGGGTGAGAGGCATCACCTTCACTTGCTGTACTCTTACACTTCTCCAGGAATTGGCTCCTGGCTGCTACTGAGGATGTGATACTGGGCCTGACTCATCACACATCCCTTTCTCTTTTCTTACCATACCTCTCACAACAGATTTCATTGTCTCTATTCATCCTGGCAATAAACTTAATAATTTATGATTCTTCAAAGAGAGATGCAATTGCTCCACTCCCTTCAGTTGTGCTGTCCCTTCTGACTTCTCATCCCTGCTTTTCACAGTTGAATTCACTGTCACTAAACCAAGAACAAAGCCTTGTCGTGGCCAGGCTCCACAGAGGATCCCAGTGTGGGATCAGAGGATCTGTGTGGGTTTACTGCCAAAGGTCACATCCCGGGGCTCTCTCAGGGGTCAGGAAACAAAAAACACCCCGTTATACAAATCTTTCCTTCATGTGCTTCACCCTTTATTTTCCACATTTGACTCAGGAAACTCGTGTCAAACAAATGCTCCTTTGGGAGAGCTAAGAAATAAACCCCTTTTCTCTGCCCCTAAGGAGGAGCGGAGGAGTTGGCCGTGCTCCTGGCTAAGAGTGGTGCTACTGGAAGCCAGCTGGTTTTCTGCAATCCAAGTGACAGTCCAGAGCTATTGCCTTCCTCCTCCACGCTCTTCCAGTCCCAGGATCAATAACAGTTGTAAAGTATTTTGGCCCACATCAGCATCCTGCAGTTCAGTATCTGCTGCCACTCTGATATTTGTGGGCTTTGGGTGCGATTTGTCCCTTCTGGTTTTTTCCTGTCCTGTTCTCCTCAACCACCGTATGCTCTGCACCTTCAAAACTCCAAAAGGAGTTTTCCCTGCTCACAGTAAATAAGCTTTTAAGGGCTCAGCACACTGGGAGAGAAGAATAAGCCCTTCTGTTGGCTTTGGCAACTTTCTGAACTCTGGCTGTCTCTGCCAGCTGGGAAACCTGAAGCCAGAACTTAGTCCTTTGAAGATAAAAATGGTGATTACTGAAGATCAAACAAAGGCCTCATTTAACATAAATTCCATGTGTGTTTCTTTAGTCCTATTTACAAGAAGGACATTTGGGAATTCCTCTGGCTGGGTTTCCAGAGTGAAGATGTTAGATTTCTTTGCTTAAACCCTGGCCCAGATACAGCCCCACAGTCTTGAAGCACAAAACTGTCTAGAGGGCATGTGTATCCAAAGGCTACAAATATTCCAGAGTAATCCTATCTTCAGTTTAGCACGAGAAAGATATGGCAAACTTCCAGCTGGGGACAGAGAGGAGAGGGAGGAAAATAAATAGGGAAACTAAGGGCTCAACTCCTAAAACACAGAGGAGGGAAGCAGTGCCTGCAGGTACCTGGGGACAGCCAGTGCTCCTTTGTCTGACCCTTCCAGGCTTGTGGATAAAGCTCGTGGAGGAGCTCTCACATCACGGCTTTCCCTCCAACAAACCACATACTTTTCCTCCCTGTAAAGTACAGTTTGTGAAGAATGCTGGTGATATTGTGTGTGATCAAAATAAAAACCCTGTTTTCTTCTTTGGAAAAATAATAATAATAATAATAATAATAATAATAATAATAATATAAATTACCTCCTTGTGCAGTGTTTTGCTGATCCACCAAAATCGTGGAACTGCTGTGCAGGTAGGAAAGCACTGGGGCAAATGTGGAGGCATCGACTGGAAACTCGGGATCCTGCATAGCTATTCTGAGCCTGACAATGACACTTCCAGCCTTCAGGGATTCAATCTGCACTTTCAGCTTCCCAGATTTGCACAAAGCAGAAACGTCGGGCGGAAATGAATTTTCAAGCTGAGCAAAGGGAGAGAAGCGTCGACAATTAGGAAGCCAAGAGGAAAACCTCCCTTAAAACTGAGCTGGGGTGCTACACTTTTAAAGATTTGCGCATGCACGACATAAAAAATGTTGTAAAGCAAGTCCCAAAGCATTTCAGAAATCTTACTTTTCAGAGATTATTGAGGCACAAAGTAATGTGAGCCTCCTTGGTGCACCCTTTGAAAATGGTATCCGTCTGACCACTGGCCTTACAAACCAAACTTCCATTTTATCTCATGGGAGAAGGTTTCCCTCTGGTCCTGTTTGCCTGGGCCAGAGCTGAACTGGCCCAACCTGTGTTAGCTCTGCATGTCACGTAAGTGTTTTGTCCCAAGCCTCCTGTATACTCACCCCTGCACTCCCAGACTCTGGAACTGGATCATCTCCACTGTGACTTGGCCAGTCGCTGGCTTGATTTTGACCACTACCAGCCAGGAGTCCCCCCAGTGAGGGTTTGACTCTGAAAATGACCCTGGGGTCAGGCCCAACAGGCAATCCCAGTGTGACCACCATGTTTTGGGAGACCCAACTGCGTGGGTGCAGGCTAGTTTGTGCCAGAGAATGGCTCGGGAAGTGTTTCATTTACCAGTGTGGGCCCAGATTTAGTTCCGAGGGACTATCTAGAACTCACCAGTTCAAGTTCATCCAATAATAAAGAAATCTCAGGGTGAGAGACAAGAAAAATGGGGGTGGATAACTTCATTAAAATGTGTTTGAGACCGCCCAGCTTCAAGGCAATATCACAGTTACATCATGGTTAATTACCAACCTGGTGAGCAGTCACATCATCTGAACATTAGGGCTGGCACACTGCTGTCAGTATTAGAGCTGTGCAGGAATTGGAAGGTTTTCCTTACACCTCCAGAAGGCAGCTCCTTGCTTGAGCCTTTGTTCCTTCATACACCTCAAAGCATGCCTTTGAGCACACACTGCAGAGCCATAAATCAGCACAGCTTTGCTCCCATTCAGTCAGAGTTTGCTCCAAAAAATTCCTACAAACAAGCTGTTTGACTGGTCTAAGCTCACATCGGGGTGGGGAGGCAAGAAAAAGAGGAGAGAGGAAGCGAGAGGGGGATGTTGTGCTCCCAAACACCCAGGGAGGCAGAGACAACACAGATGGGAAATGCTCCTTTTCCTTCACAACCCCACGATGCCAATTAGATCTGCATTAGTCTCAGAGAAGATTCACTCACCAAAATCCTCCCACACGACAAAAGTGAACAATTTTCAACTGTGGGAAATGAAACCGTGTCAGGAGGTTCAACTTGCAGTTTCTCATGAGCAAACTCCTGCTGCCTTTGAAACTAAAGCTCCATTACTGGTGGGTTTTTTTTCCCTCAGATTTAATTTCACTTATGTTTATGAGTCACCCTTTGTTTTGGGAAAGTCTCGTTTTGGGTGTAGATCCCAATTCCTCTGTATGGGCCCTGTTGTCTGCAGCAAAACCATAGGAGATTGCTCCATCTGAAATTCCCCCTCCCCCCCACTTTTTTGGGAAGCTGAGAGCTGGTAATAGGCTTCATGACTCAAGTTTTGTTTGATCACTATACCTGAGCATGGACAGTGGCCACAAGTGTGCAGGCAGTGAATGTGGCTGGAGAAGAAAGCCTGATCCAGCCACCTTTCCTAAAAGAAGAAAGAGCTTTGAGAGCAGCCAGACATTTATTGAGACGACAGCGCTGATATGAATGCCAGGAATGTCATTTCAATAATCCATTAGAAAGCCTCAGCCACCAATGGTGATATGGGGATGATGGAAGGCTTCCTGAGGTGCAGGCTGATATAAAACTTCTGTCTTCTTCAAGCTGACTTCCAGACCAAAAAGCTCAGCAGCCTCTGCAAAGCAGGATGTTAAACGCTGCAGGGCTACTTCTGTGTGGGCGACGAGAGCGGCATCATCAGCATAAAGCAGCTCACGGATAAGATGATTTAAGGTCTTAGAGTGGGCCTTCAGTCGCCTTAGATTGAAAAGGCTCCCGTCGGTACGATATCGAATGTAGACACCGTTTTCAAAATCGAGGTCCCCATATCACCATTGGTGAAACAACACTCAAATCAGTCCAACAGTTTAATTATCTGGGAAGCATCATCTCCTCAGACGGTAAGATTGATGCTGAAATTGACAACAGGTTAGCAAAGGCATACAGTGCCTTTGGTAAACTCCGTAAAAGAGTGTGGCAAAACAAACACCTGAAGAAAAGTACTAAGATCAGTGTTTACAGAGCCATCGTGCTGTCTACTCTTCTATAT